TAACTGACTATACTTCAGGTTTTAAAAAATGGCTTGAAGTTCACTAATAAAATCTACTCTATAAATCAAGCAGCAGTTTTCACAGAGACCACAACAATTTATATTAAGGAATAAAAAGACTTGTGCAAGTCTTTTAATGAAGAGACTTAAAATAGAACGCTGAGAATTAATTTGAGCTATATACTGAGTTTAAACTTCTAGCCATTTGAATAGAAATATGTTTCTCCATGACTGTATTTTCTGGAAACTGCTGAAATGAAATCAAAGATGTGAGGAAAAAAAAAACGGTTAAGACAGTAAATTTTATGTTGTGTACATTTTACCACAATTTAAAAAAAATGTTTTAAACCATAAAAAAGGAAAACAAATCTTATATAATAAGTAGCTCTTGTGGAGTAAGAGCCTACAAAGAGGTCATAACACTCAGAAAAACTTCTTTAAAAAATGTTTAGCTCATCTATCTTCCCCATATCCCATAGAGTGTAGCAGCCACCCCCAGTCTTCTCTCTCTACATCTGCCCCCCCCCACAAAATGTTGCTTGGTTCTTCTCTTCATTATTCCTGCCCTGTCTGGATAAGTCACTATCATGTAAAGTCATCCAGTCCTCTTGGCTACTACTAGTACCATCTTTCCCAATGATCTGTGAAGGATTGAAGTCAAGGTGGAGGGTGTGAGAGGAAAGCAGTAATATTTACACCTGTCAAATGTGAACTAACGTAGAGATGAAGAAGCGACAGCAGAATTTGAGAAACTTAGTACAAACTCACATCTGGAAAACCCAAGCTGTCAATCGTTCCACTCATCTGCCATCAACAAGGGATTGAGATTCTTAACACAAAAATAACTCTTACGAATCAAAGAAGAGGGGAAAACCACCCTGATGGAAAAATTCTCGAAGAACATGCACAAGCAAATTAAAGAAAATCAAATTGAAAAGGATGTTCAAGCTCACTAGTAACAAAACAAATGGAAATTACAACAATATTTCAGCTAGCAGATGAACAAAGATTTTTTTTTAATTAATTACAGATAGCGTTGGCTAGGGTATGGAGGAAAAGGAACACACACACTGTGCTGATGAGAGAGTAAGTGAAGAAAAATTAGGTAATACGTCTCCAAATTTAAAACCAGCATATATCTGACCCTGCGATCCTGCTTCTAGTATTTACCCTAACAAGTTCATCAAACAACAAGAAGGAAGGAAACTCAAGAATGCTTTTGCAGAATCCTCAGTCTCCGCCAATATTGGCAATAACTGATTCCCAGATGTTTTTTCACACCTGAGTTGGAATGTGTTCATTCCTACCATATTACTTCTACCATACACTAGTAATATTTGTAAAGGACAGGAATTAAATGCTTTGCTATTGCTATTTGACCTTTTACCAGCACACTGCAAAGAACTCAAGGAACATTTCTAGAAATGAGAAAATGATGCGTGAATCTTAATGCAGAAAGAGGTGTGTAAGTCAGTTCCCACCGTGTCTTCAGGTAAACCTATAAGGATCTGTTCCTACTCCTTTGCCCTTGCCTCTCCTCACTTTGGGCTGTGTTCCCATTCATTACGTTGATGTGATTTTTATTTAATGTTAGTGTTCGTAGTAAATAGGGTTGATTGCCTACCCAATTCCTTTTCCTCCCTGTCTTTCCTCCTGACAGAGCGAACCCCAGGTGCCCTTCAAAATAGAGTGTGTAATTGGAGACTCCAACAAAAAGATGGGACCCTAAGTGCTATCCCATGGTATAAGAGTGATCTAGGAATAAATTCACCCCTCTGAGGACTGCAAGAAAATAATCTGCCTCAAACCTATGGATTAAGCATTCGTATAATTAAATATAAAAAGAAACAGAATGATCCACATAGCACAGCATAAGTAAGGTAAAAAAGCATACTCCCACCAAAAAATAGTATCTATCTTCCAAGAATGCATATAAAAGAAAACCTACACGTTAAACATATTGGAATGGTTGCCTCTGGAGAAGGGGGAGGGGAGGGGAGTGGAAGGGGAGATTGTTAGAATAAGAAATATGTCAACATATAGACCAACATATTTAGCCAAAGAAAACAAAAACACTAATTCAAAAAATCTCATATTTATTACAACATTACTTATAATAGCCAAGATTGGAAACAAACTAAGTGTCTATTAACAGATGAATGGATGAAGAAAATGTGGTATATGTACACAGTGGGCTATAATTCAGCAATAAGAATGCAATCTTAAAGAATATGAAAACAAATAGATGTATGTATATGCATGACGGGGACATTGTGTTGCACAACCGAAATTGACACATTGCAACTGATGGTACTTCAATTAAAAAAAAAAAAGAATGAAATCTTGCCATTTGTGACAACATGGTTGGATGCTGAGAGACCATATGATCCCACTCATATGTGAAATTAAGAAACAAAAGCAAAGAAACAAACAAAAACACAAAGCTCACAGTTACAGAGAACAGACTGGTTGCCAGAGGCAGGGGGGCGGAGGATGAGCGAAATGGATGGAGAGAGACAAAAAGTACCAACTTCCGGCTATAAAATAAGTCACTCAGGAGGATGTAATGTGCAGCTTGGTGACTGTAGTTGACAGTGCTGCACTGCATATTTTAAAGTTGCTAAGAGAGTACATCTTGAAAGTTTTCATCACAAGAAAGAAATTCTGTGACTATAGATGGTGATGAATGTTAGCTAGACTTCTTACGGTGATCATGTCATAATATGTACAAATAGCGAATCATGTTGTACATCTGAAACTAATATAATGTTGTATGTCAATTATACCTCAATTAAAACAAAAAGAATAGAAGACCAGAAGCAAACCTTCTCATAGGTGAAAACCTGATTTACAGTAAGGCTGGCATCTTAGCGGCGGAGGAGAGCTAATCAGTAACTGGTGCCAGGATATCTGGTTATTTACATGGAATCAAATGAAATTGGGCTCTTACTTCGCATCATGTACACAAACAAATTCCAGGTAGATTAAACATTTAGATGTGAAAATCAAAATGCTTAATTAAGAACATGGTACAGAAAAAGATCTTTAAGACTTGAAAGGTAAAGATTTATTCCTTGTACAAGACCTAGAAAGCACAAACCGTGAAGAAAAAGATTAGTAAACACTACTATATTAAAATTGTTCAAAAGATGTCAGAATGAAAGTGGAAAAGTCAAGGAAGAAATCAATACCATATATACATAATCAATAAGAAAAAGATGACAAATTTTATCCCACTGATTTCAACAGAAAAAAAATCAACAAAACAGATAAATAGGCACTTTATAAAAGAGGAAAACCTGAATGGCCAATGACTATATGAAAAGATGTTCAATCTCCTTGGGAAAAATAGAAATTCCAATTAAAGCTTCAGTAAGAAGGCAATGACACCACCAGATTGGCATCATTTAAAAAGCCTGCCATTTGTCGAGGGCGAGGAGGAACCAGTGTACTGTGTAACTGACTGGAACACTTACGCAGTACGGATGGTAGTGTGAAATGGTCACTTTGGAAAATACCCCACCAGCAGTTTCACTCCTAGGTGCACACCCTCGTGCCGTTTTCACCCCCAGCTGGGTGCACTGTAGTCCAATTCTGGCACTAACCACCTGGAGTTAGTGTTGGCCTTGCTTTGAACAAGGTCTGGGAGGATCCCAGACTCAGAGCTTCTACACCACTCCTGGAGCAGGGCATATCACCCTCCCCACACATCAGTGTGCCCCCCAACCAGGAACCTTCACAGAGCCTCAGTGTTCTGGCTTTTTACTGGGGTTACATTACGTGGCCATGATTGATTAATCATTATCCACGTGATTGAGTTCAATGTCCAGTCTCCCACCTCTCACAGAGGTCAAAGGACTGAAAATCCCAGCTCTCTAACACTTGCTCTTTCTGATGACCAGCCTCCACCCTGTCTATCTAGGGGCACCCCTGGAGTCACCTCATTAGCATCCCCATTAGCATTACAAGGACACTCCTGCCACTCAGGAATTTCCAAGTGTTCTTGAAGCTCTGTGCCAGGAACTGTTGCCAAATATCAGACAAATTCTTTATTTTTTTAATTTTTTAATGTTTTGATTTATGATGTTGTATTAGTTCCAGGTGCACAGCAAAGTGAAGACAACCTACAGAATTGAAGAAAATATTCAGAAATGATGAGACCAACAAGGGTTTAATTTCCCAACTATACAAACAGCTCAATATCAAAAAAAAACAACCTAATGAAAAAATGGGCAGAAGACCTAAATAGACATTTCTCCAAAGAAGACATCCAGATGGCCAACAGGCACATGAAAAGATGTTCAACATCGCTAATTATCAGAGAAACGCAAATCAGAATTACAATGAAGTATCACCTCACACTGGTCAGAATGGCCATTATTGAAAAGCCTACAAATAATAAGTGCTGAAAAGAGTATGGTGTTAAAGGAACCCTCCTACACTGTTGACGGGAATGTAAATTGGTGCAGCCATTTTGGAAAACAGTGGGGAAGTCCCTTAAAAAACTAAAAATAGACTCACCCTATGATCCAGCAATCCCACTCCTTGGCCATATATCCCAAGGAAACTGTAATTCAAAAAGATAGGTGCACCCCAATGTTCATAGCAGCACTATTTACAGTAGCCAAAACACAAAAGCAACCTAAATGTTCATTGGCAGATGAATGGATAAAGAAGATGTGGTATGTATACAGTGGAATGCTAATCAGCCGTTAAAAAAGAATGGAATAATGCCATTTGCAGCAACATGGATGGACCTAGAGATGATCATACTAAGTAAGTATGTCACAGAAAGACAAATATCATATGATATCATTTATATGTGGAATCTAAAAAAATGATACAAATGAACTTATTTACAAAACAGAAATAGACTCACAGACATAGAAAAACATATGGTTACCAAAGGGGAAAGATGGGGTGAATAAATTAGGAGTTTGGGATTAACAAGTGCACACTACCATATATAAACTAAATAAAAGGACCTTACTGCATAGCACAGGGAACTAGATTCAATACCTTGTAATAACCTATCATGGAAAAGACTAGATGTATACAAATTCTTTATCATCCAACAATCCTAGAGAAACTCCTGCAGCTATGTCTCAGGAGACATGCACAAGAATGTTCAAGAAGCACAGTTTGTATTAGAAAAAAAATGGGGAACAACCCTCATGTCCTTGAATGTCTTGTGATCAATTCATACAGTGCAGTACTGTACATACAGTGATGACAGAGGAGGGCTGCGGGAGCAGGGAGTCCTTGGTTAGAAAGAAGAAGGGTAAGAACCATGTGCCCCTCCCCCTCTACAGGGATGGATAGCCCCTCCCTGGAGATTAAAGGTGACTCTGAATATAGGGGCTGGGGCTTTCCCCTTGATTTCAGATTCCCGAAGGCAGAGCTCTGGCCAAAGTGTCTCCCTCACCAGTTAAGAACGAGAGGGTAGACTACTCCATCACCATCAATAATCATCAACTCCCTGAGGGCCCAGGGCCAAGGAAAAGGACCCAGGCTCTCTCTGTCACCTGCAAAGGGTCAATGGTCAGCTTGGGGGTGAAAGCAGACAGTAGTGCCTCATACAGGACTGTCAGAGAGAGAGAGAAGATGAGGCCACTCCTCTGAGATGCTTCTGCAACAGGAAAGCAGTGTGAAACCATCGTGGCCCTGGGAAATCTACATCTCTGCCTGGCAGAGACCCCTGTGTGGGCACACACATCATGCTAGGTCCACCTGGACCAAGAGTAGGGTGGCTCCCCTCCCCACCCAGCCGCGGGAGGTCCGTGACGGATGGAGCCAGCAGACACTCTTTGACCAGATACGCAACCCACCCCGGCCACCTCGTGGAGAGAGTGTCACGGTGACAACCTTCGGTCAACTGTCCTTTCGCCCTAAAGATCAAAGTTCAGGCCAAAAATGATGAAGTGCCCTGAGGTGGCAAGTTTTCTGTTTTTCCACCCTCAGAGAAGTAGGGTGCTCCTGTTCTAAGGTGAATTTAGATGGAGAGATGAAAGAAAATTCAGTTTTGTAAACTGAAAATATAAGTTTTACAAATTGCCCGACCTCTGAAACAGCATATCTCATTCATTTCTTGATACGGATACACATACGTGCACACGTATGCATCGTAAGTGTATCTTTGTTAGCATTTTTAAACAGAACACGAGAACGCGCCAAGCATACTGTTGCATAACCGGCTTCTTCCAACTCACGGTGCATCGGGGACTCTTCCCGCAGTGATTTACGCAGTATTTCACTCTGTGAATTATATATAATACGGATGTGAAGACAATTACCTAGGCCCCCTGGGTCTTTTTTCAGAGCAAACATCTCCTGCTCTTCTGTGGCACCCGTTCAGACCCCTGCTTACCTTACTCTGGAAAACTCCAGCTTGTCACTGTCTCTCGTAAAGTATATTGACCAGGGATACGCCCAGTCCAGGCCTGGAAAAGGAGCAGAGGCATTTAAAAAGGTGATTTTTCCTGGCGTAACATTCAGCCACAGGGCCCTGGCTAGGATTAACCTGTGTCACGGCCCTTTGTGGACCTCAACCTGCAAGTCTCATTTCAAGGTGCTGGCAGTAATTCAAAGGCACTGTCTTTTGACCTTGCTTTCTGACCAATCCAGACGTAACTCTTTCTCAACCAAAATCAGACTCCCTGGCTTTGGCTGCTCACGTGTGATCTGACCTCCAAGATTCCTCCGGTGTAGCTCGTGTTAAAGATCTCCACCCAGAGCGTTAGCATCTCCTTCTTTATAAAAAGAAAAGGGCTAAATGGTAAATTGTGCGTTATGTGTTTTTTTTTTTACCACAATTAAGGAAAGAGGGAAGGGAAGGGAGGGAGGGAGGGAGAGAGGGAGGGAGGAAGGAAGAGGAGGAAAGAGGGAGGGAGGAAATAAAACTCAGAGGTAGGTGCAGGCCATGAGCAGTATCTGTAGCACCCAGGAGAGGGGCGCTCCCAGCCCCAGCTCACCTCCTTTCTCTTCCCACGCTGGCTTCATGTGACATCACCAAAGGCGTCCCAAGCACATCAGTGTCCAACCCAGTCCATAAGTGTAAGTTCACATCACATTCCTCTGCCAAAAAATGGCCTCCCCTTGGCCATCTCTCAGGCCCTGGAAGCAGGCTGGGGAGCTCTGGGAGGAATATTCCAGGTCCTGACATCCAGGGTGTGGTCGGGACAGTGGGGGCAGGCTGGGGTGGGAAGGAGCCGGCTGGAAGAGGGGCCTCCAGCCCACTGAACCCAGGGCAGGGCCCACTGTCCTGCAGGAAGGGGTCCCGCCCAGAATGGCCCGGCCCAGCTGGCCTCCCAGAGGAGTGACTCCCCAGATGAATCCTTAAGGACAGGATAAAATCTGCTCATTTGAGGCAGGAGAGAATGTCTCAGGCAAAGAATGACGAAAAGAGAGAGTTGAGGGGATGCTGGGTGCTGGCAACCAGCCTGTGCACAACAAGTAGGGTGAGTGTGCCTGGTGGGGGCGGGGAGGACTACAGGACATAGTGGCGGAGAGTCGAGGCCCAGCAGGCCTGGGAGGCCGTGCCTGCCTGGACTCTGTCCCGAAAGCTATGGGGGACCAGGAATCATTTTATGCTAAGGGGGAATGTGATCGGGTTTGTATTTTAAAGAGGCAACACTGCTGTCCAGGAAAACAACGGAACAGAGAATGAATGAGAGCAAAAGATAACGGGGAGGAAAGTACAGGCTGCTGAGGGCAGACGCTGCGGGAGCAGGAGGGGAAAACAGGGATCAGAGGGCTGGCGGGAGGCCACCTGTGGGGGCCCCTCCACAGCTCGCTTGGACTTCAGACCTGAGATACCTCGAGTTCTTGTCGTGGAGGAGACTAGCAATGTTATTTGACCTCCTCGAACCTCAAGTTTCCCTCATCTTGAAAACAGCACAGCGATTTACTGAGAGAATTAAAACAAGTGTAGACCGAATATAAACTGCCCAGGCAGGCCTGAGCGGGACTAGGACTGGGCGCAGGCCCACAGACCGCCCCCAGCCCGGCAACCGAACACAACCAAAAAAGTGATTTCTCACTCTCACGACCTGCCCAGCCTGGGCTGGGCTTGGCGAGGTTCTGCTCCATGGCGTCCTCACTCTGGGGCCCAGGCTGACAAGGGCTGTTTGTTCTTAAGATGCTGGTCTCCACTCAGGGCGGCTGGGTTGGCTGCGGCAGCGGGGAAGGAGGCCTGGGGACCCAGCACCCACACTTCAAAGCTTACGTCTGTCAATTACTTCCATGGCGTTACAGCGACGCGAACCCCCAGCGTGGGAGATGGCGGTGCTTGGCAAACCAGATTCAGGAGAGGGCTAGGTATTGGGGAATATTATAAATGGCAACCACGGATACGTTTGAACGATCACAGAGAACCCCGGTGTGAACTGACAATGGATGGAATGATCACGGACCTCTGTGTTTTCCATCCAGTTATCACCGTCTAGGTGTTGGCCCTGACACCCCAGCCTCCAGGACAAGGCAGCTCTGGGTCCTAAGAAGTCCTGCACGTGGCTGTCATTTGATTTTTTTTATTCCTCTGGACAACCACACACCCCCACCACCAAGAATCACTGAACTCAAGCCCCAAGAGCCCATTAACCTTGGATGCTCCACAGGGCCCGATGTAAAGAGCTCAGATCAGTGAGATCAAGCAAACGGTTTCTCAGAAGTCCACAGCAAAGGGCGGGCGGCTGGCGGCCGGCGTGAGGCACCAGGACTGGTCTTTGTGGGCGGCTGGCAGGAGCCCGGGGACGTTGCCATTTTTCTAACAGGCTCAGAATGGGAACAGATTTTTTACCTGCTGAAGGAGCCGCCGGTTAGCAAGCACTGCTCTTCCAGGAAAACAAATACGCAGCTGGGAGACCCTTTTTCCCTCCGAGATTAAATATCGTTAGCTCGGCTAAAAAAAGATTTCAAATACGGAGGCTCTTTAAAATCCCCCCCCACTTCTCCCTTTCCTCCTTTCTCCTTCTGCCCGCCCTTTGATGGAGCTTCAAGGCCCGCACGCAGCAGGACTCACAATCGCTATTTCATCTTAAATTTCTATAGCAGGAAATGTAGGTCACTGATCTTCCAAGTGGCCTAGTTTCCCAGCTCTAAATAGAAATCTTTCCCCAGGTTGAGGGTTTTTTGTTGTTTTTTTTTTTCTAGATTGTGTCTAATAAAAGCGGGACTTGCTTAGCCAGGCCAAAATGGCTGCGCTCCGGCCTCCTCCTCTCCCAGCAGCTGCACACCCGGGAGATTGGAAGGACGAGCTGTAGGGCTTGCAGCCTCTGGAGTGTCCGAGGCCACGGCTTGCTCTGCAGGTGACACGAGGGCCAGAAGGTGCCTCTGAGGACGCGGGTGATAAGAGTCTAACCAGGAGGACCTTGACCACTTCTCCTAGACCAGGGAGAGCAAGGACAGAGCAACCAAGATGTGTCAGATGCCCACCTGTGCTGGACACCTGCGTTCACAGCCATCCCGGTCCACGTCGGCTCGGGGTCTTCTCTTGCTCTCTCTCTTTCTCTTTCTTCCTTCCTCTTCCCTCTTTTCTTCCTTCCTTCCTCCCTCCCGCTTTCCTTTCCTTTCCCATCTTTCTCCTTTCTTTCTTTCTTTTTCTTTTTCCTTCTTTCTTTCTCTTTTTCCATCTTTCTTTCTTTCTTTCTTTCTTTCTTTCTTTCTTTCTTTCTTTCTTTCTTTCTCCATGTTCATTGTAGAGAACTGGAAAACACAGATGAGTGAAAAGAAAAACAAAAATTAGCATTAAAACTACAGAGAAAAACCCTGCTGGTGTTTCTCTGTGTATCTGCCCGGTTATTTTTTCTCAGCATAGACACTGATATAGACCCTCTTTAACAAGACTGGGATCATAATATTGTGTCGTGTGGTTTCCCTCCTTAACCTATGTTGTAGATGGAAACACTCTTTCTGGTCAATTCATGTGTGTGTGCCTGGGTTTATGTGTTTACATATATGACCTTGGAGGATTCCTGCTAAAATTCCTCACAGAATTTCATAAAAATAAATTCTCTCCCTCACACCATACACAAAAATAAACTCACAATGGCTTAAAGACTTAAATATAAGACAAGACACTATAAACCTCTTAGAAGAAAACACAGGCAAAACATTCTCTGACATAAATTATACCTACGGTTTCCTTGGTCAGTCTCCCAAGGCAGTAGAAATAAAAACAAAAAATTAACAAATGGGACCTAGTCAAATTTATAAGCTTTTCACTGCAAAGGAAACCATAAACAAAATGAAGACAGCCTACAGACTGGGAGAAAATATTTGCAAACAATGTGACTGACAAGGGCTTAACTTCTAAAATACACAAACAGCTCATACAACTCAAAAACAAAACAACAAACAGTACAATGGAAAAATGGGCAGAAGACCTTCATAGACATTTCTCTAAAGAAGACATCCAGATGGCCAACAGGCACATGAAAAGATGCTCAACATGGCCAATTATCAGAGAAATGCAAATCAAAACTATAGTGAGGTATCACCTCATTTCTTCACACCTCATCAACATATGAAAAATTTAATTTTGCTAGTAAGATAGAAAAAATGTACATCATTTATAAGAGCCACATTGCTTCTCTTTGGGATGGTACCATAACTTATCTTACCAACTCTCTCTTTTGGGCCTTGGAGATTGGGAATTTTATTTTGTGCAATGTTAGAACAAACACCTTTGTGCACGTGTATTTTCACTTCCCTCATCTTCCTTTTGTTTTTGTACTCCATACTCACACATAAGTTTCTGCATTTAGGAGTATTTTTAAGGCCTGAGATACATTTCCAATATTTTTTTTTAAGTTCCCAACAATTTGACATGGACACCAGCAACAGTTAGATATTTTGCCCCCATGTCACAAGGGAGGAATTCATCCCAGATGCATCTGACTCCAAGTCCAGGTCTCTCTGTGAACCCAGGCTGTCCCAGTGTATCTGGGGTGCTCTAGGTGCCCTGTGGCAGGTTGTTAAACCACAAAATACCGGGTAAGGAAATGTTTTTCCCTTTCCAATTCTCTTTCAGTCCTTCCGATGTGATTAATGAGACTCTTGATCAGTCCTTTTTGCTACTCCTTCCTTTTAACAAAGAAGAAGCAGGCTTCCTGCTCGTGTCTTTGGCCAGCCACAGCATCTAGCCTGATTTTTTCAAAGATTGTTTATAATGGATTTGCACTTCCCTTCTCTGAAGCAAGTTTGATTGATTTTCCAGGAATTAAATAAAGCCTTAGAGACTTCTGTTTTCAAATCATTTGGTTAAGGGTTAAAAAGTGGCTCAACTCTTTAAAAAAACAAATAAATCAAAGTACAGGTGGACTGTGTGAATAGGGCAAAAAATCGTAAAGGTTGCAGATGGAGTCTAGTTTGAGAAGTCTTACACGAACTGTGTTTCTTTCCTGAGAGAAAGAGGAAGGAATGGAGATTTCATTGATTTTTATGCCCTGTACTGGGCACTGAGCACATAATCTGAAGAGCATCCTAGCTGTCGCCGCGGGGAGGTTAGGCCAGGCAGGCAGCTGGTGCAAATTAAAGGGCTGTGGACCTTAGCCTGGGAGGGTGGTCGACAGCGTTCTTAGCAGAGGGTGCTGGGGGGACGTTGCAGGATGGGGTCAACTGCGGTTTCTGGTGCCCGTTGGAGGTGGTGTGAGAACATCGAAGAACCTGACCCCCCAGCCCAGTCAGCCCCTGCCCCTGCCTCCTCACAGCTCAGAACAGTCCCTCTGTGGCCCTGCAGGCTTGATAGCCTTTCTGGGGCCCTCTCGACACAGTAACCAGAGCCCACGCACAGGTGGGTCACACGCCTCCGAGCCGCCCCTTGCACACCCAGACATTAGCTCAGGACAGCTGCACTCCCGAGGGTGGCCTGTCCTGCTCCTCCAGACCCACTCCAGCAGGCCGAACCAGTAAACCTCTCTGCTTCCCAGTGGCCAACCCACCCCTCCAGTGAGGTTCAAACCCCTTCCAAGTATGTCCTTCTTTGCATAGACTTCCTCAGCCTTAGGGAACGATGCAGCCTCCTTTCGCCTTGGAGATATTCTCTCATCTTAGTTAATCATTTTTCATAATCAACTTTCCCTATTAACCTCCTGTGTGGTTACCATCTCCTGATGGGCCCCAGTCAGGCTCCAGGCCTCACCTCCCCCGCACAGGGCCCCAAAGGATGCCCTGCAGTCATGCTCTGGCACCCGGTGACCCTCCTCCTGCTCTTTCTCCTCAGCTCCAGTCTCACCAAGTCTGCCACTAGAACAGAGCCTCTGGCTCCTGACCTTTGCATCTGGCTCACAAAGGATTGCACTGTAATCTCACC